TTTGGGTATGTTTATGAAAATTAAATGATGTAGGGTTTATTTATAGTTTTAGTGCTAAGAATGGGTATATGACTAAATATCTTTTTTTTTTATTCTTCTTCTTCTTTTTTATATTTTTGAATCTTTAATTTTTGTCTTTTCTTGGGAAGTTAAGGGAAAATTGACCTGAATTTGGTGAACCTCTAACCTCCACATAGAACTACCACAACCGCAAGTATCAACGTTGATGAATTGGATTCCTTTAGTCTCCTGACAAATTCAACTATAGAAAGAGACAGTTAGCAATGGTTAGTGAAACAAACACATCCATCATTCAATCTACCACAACCGCAAGTACCAACCTTGATGCATTGGATTCCTTTAGTCTCTTGACCACAACCGCAAGTATTGGATTCCTTTAGTCTCTTGACCACAACCACAAGTCTTAACGTTGATGCATTGGATTCCTTTAGTCTCCTGACAAATTCAACTATAGAAAGAGACAGTTAGCAATGGTTAGTGAAACAAACACATTCATCATTCAATCCACCAGCTTCTTAAGAAAAAACTTCAAACCATTTAATAAGGTTGTGGACCCACTGAAGACTTACAGTCTCCATGCATATATGAACATTAGCCTCTCTACACGCGCTTCCACGCCTGCGAGAGGCTTTTTTTTTTTAATAAAAAATTTTAACTTATTTTAGAATTAAAAAAGATAATGGGTGGTTGTGTTCCATAAAAATAGGATCCATTATCTGATTTTTCTTTTAATTTTACTGTTAATTTTACCTTTTTTTAATATGAAAAAGTTTGAATTTATCATATTATTCTCATTTAATTAATAATTTCAATTCTTAATGTTTGCATTAACCAAGGACATTTTATGGTATTTTGAAAGTTTTACCATTCTCTGCCTTTTGCTTTCTATATATAGATATATAGATAAACAAATTATCTAGAAACCTTGTACCAAAACAAACTAACTAGAAAGAAAGTGTAAGATAATTAATCAACTTTCTTTTTTCTATATTTTAAAAAAATCGATTCATTAAGAAGAATTAATGATGTAAAAAGAAAGGATTTTTTTCAATGTCGTAAGGGCACTTCCAGCAGTTGAAATCCTGCCATGGCAAGGGGGGGCTAGGGCTCACACTATTCACGGGAATAGTGTCTGCCCTTGCAAAAAGTAAGTTCCACTTCCAGCAGTTGCCATGGCAAAGGGGGTACTATTAAATTTTTTGTTTTTTTCACAAATTTGTTTACCTAAACAATTAATTTGGACAATATATTCGGATGAGATTTTCTGATAAAATATTCAGATAAGATTTTCAGATAAGATTTTCGGTTTCAAATTTCAGATAAAAGTGAATAATGAAAATTGAAAGTGAAAAAAATTTAGAGTTGAAAGTGAAAAAATTATTGAGTAGAAAGTGAATTTGTTGTTAAAAGTGAAAAGTATGGATTGGTATTTATAGAAAAAAAATTCAATATTTTTTGGGGTTTTTTTAAAAAAATTTACGATTTTTTTTCATAAATTTTTGCCTTGAAAAATTCCAAGCCGTTGGATTGGATGAAAAATCTGAAATCGGAAGGACCAGGTTGCGCCACGTGGCAGCGAAAAGAAAAAAAAAATTAATTGCGCCTGCTGACGTTAGCTGCCTTCAAGCTGGAGCTCAGGCTCCCCCTGCCTTCGGGCCAGCCCAAGCAAGTGGACCCCACTCTGCCCAGGCCAGCCTTTGTTGCTGAAACTTGCATTTGGGCTCTTTCCCCCCAAGACAACGTTAGAGTAAAGCTAGTCCTATTGTTTTCTCATAACAGAAGCTAGCTCATAACAGACTAATGATTTTCATTCTCAATCAAGAAGGTGATTACGGTTAATTTTTCTTTTTCGTTTCGGCAGGTATTCATTTTATGCTTGTTGGCTGGATGCAGCATCTGCTGGTTCAACACAGTCTGCTATGTTGCCCCTCAGTCAGTTTCAATGGGGTAAGTGCAGCCCTCTACACCCTCATTGCCAATGCAATAAAACCAAATGATGACACCATCTACCTCTTCCTCAATGCTCTAGTACCTCTCTTCACATCCGGTGTTGCTCTCATCCCCGTACTCCGCCAACCGCCGCTTCCGTCACTTCACTGACCGTGACTCCATCATTTTTCTTTGCCTAAACATCCTAGCTGTGATCACAGGCCTATATCTACTCCTCCTCAACTCCCTATCCTCTCATGTATCGAAAGCTCGGATGCTCTTAGTTGGTGCTCTTTTTCTCCCGTTCCTACCTTTGTGTCTGCCTGGCATTGCATATGCTCGTGAGTGGGCTCGTAGGAACTTCCCCTCAAGGTTCCCTTCGGACAACTCATCTGCCTTCAATTTGGGATTGGGATAAGCTCTGGCTTTGTGTTTTCTGCAGCTGTTTTAGTTACGTCAGAGCTTTTTGGGCCAAACAGCGCTGGCGTAAACCATAACATCCTTATCACCAACATCCCAATTGGCTCGCTCCTATATGGCCTTCTTGCAGCTCTGGTGTATGATTCCAATGAAGGAAGCTCAATAATCGGGGTGAGCTTGTTAAAGGATGCAACATTGTGCATGGGTAGGTCATGCTATAGGCAGACATTCATATGGTGGGGCTGTATTTCAATAGTAGGGTTAGCTTCAAGCTTATTCCTATTCCTACGGACCAGAACTGCTTACAACCGCTTTGAGAGGAACAGAAATCGGACACAAGTCATGCAATCCTACTCACAGTCCTCCTCACAATCCTCCTCACAGTCCTCCTCTTAGTTTCAAGTTCACATATTTCACATATTTTAATGGTAACTTCTGGAAAAGCTTATAGATGTGTGAGATTTGAATGAGAGTTAAAAACATGACAACATAGATACAAGTGATGAGTATATGCTTGTTTCTCTGACTAGGAAGATAAAGAGATTACATGTAACATAGAACTTACGATGTCAGAAAGAAAATGTTAGAAAGTTCTGTAGATGGCTTCTTATCATCTCTCACACGTCTGTTTTTGTTTTTAACTTTCTTTTGGGGTATGACTTTTTCATTCTAATCCAAGCGTAGCAAATAGATCTGCTGGCACAGCTTTCCATCATCATACTAAAAACTGAATACTGTTTACTACTATCTTATCCAAGACCATCAGGGATTAGAGCCCGTTTGGTTCAAGGAGTCAATAGCACAAGTAGTGAAGTAGTTAAAAGAATAGATACTTCAAAGTAAATTTACAAAAATATGTGAACAACGAACAGGAATGCAAGAAGCAGGCATGTGATCTAGTTCATCATCTACCCTAATCCTAACACTAACCCTCTTCCATATTCCCGTACTACCTGAGCTAGCCCCAAACCTTACCGATTCAACTTTTACCATCTAAACTACTCCAATGAACAGGAGTTCAAACAGACAGATTGTTTTTGTTCTCTTAAGCTCCTACTCATTACATTTAAGATTTAACTAATGTAACCTAAACATTCTTATCTAAAGTTGGCTGGGAGACAACTAAATTAGATTTACCATAGACTAAACAGAGAGCCTGGAGTTTTAATATACGGGTGACATCCTCTTTCAGTTACATCAGAATGTAATTTGTGAAAATTCTGTCCTTCAAGCAATGAACCGTGATGGCCACATAAAACCTCCACACTAATCAGAAAACAGAGATCACAATTACTATAGTAGATGATGAGACGTTCAGAAATCATTCCTCAGGTTGTTTGATGCATTTTGAGCAACAGATCAGTTGAACGGTAAGAAATTATTGAAGAGGGTTGTTATAAAATACACTACTAAATTACGTTCTTTAAAGGTATCCGAACAATAATAGATGCTCATGTTACTGAAGTATCGTGTCAAATGACACCATAACTCCTAGACTAGAATACATGGACTCAAAATCATACAATTATCGCATCCTTAATACGCTCTGTCAGAGTTCCACCAAATTCAAATCATATTAGCTCCCGAAGTAATCTCATTCGGGAAATTGACAACATCCAGTAAAAGACAATACGTCATACACTATTCGAGAACAATTGGTGCATCTACATTATCACCATCGAGCTTGTCTAGAAATTCAGATGGGATGTCACCTCTGAGAATTTGGACTCTGAATACTAGCCTAGTACTGCTGCACTCTAGTTGTTCAAACACACACGCATCTCCAACCTTCAAATTATTGTCAATGACAAACGCTTTCCAGTTATCAAGCCTTTTATGGCTGGATGATCCATGATATATCATCTCCCAGTTCTTGCCCCGAAATGTGAGAACCGTAGGCATTGAACAGGAAGGTAGTGTTGCACTAAATTTGCCTGGGACCACCTGCTCGAACAAATGATTATTTCAACGAATTAGACTAATTAAAGCGAAGAAAATGATAATCCCAAATTAGAGAATTAGCAATG